AACTAATTTCTATCTTCTCCCAGAGGTAGAGATCTGATGCTTTTGGCAGATCAAGAGGTTTACTATTTCACATCCATTTCAGCATGGGGGAAAGCAGATGATGTTAATGGATAATACTTGTCAGGGCGTAGTAACAGATGTTTCTGTAGGAAATGTAGTGGAAACACTGACAAGCAGGATTGTTGACTGTTTTTGGTTTATGCCCAGATTAAAGCTGCTGAAAGGATCATGTGATGTGTCTTCATAGATGGTCTGATTCATAAATTCTTTTCTTTGGGTCGTAGTTTTGATGATGGCACCAGCAGCTCATCTCATTTTTATACAGTGCTTCACTGTAAGGCATGCACTTGGCTTGAGTTTAGAGGAAATTTGATCTCTCACATAAAGCCTAGCAGGCAAATGCTGGTGTTATGTTAGAGGACACTCTGTGCGTTTCTCCTGCAAAGGGGAATTCCTTGATCAAGTGTCTTCAATCAGATTCGGGTATGTTGCTCCCTTTACTTTCGTATTGTAAACCTACACATCCTGTCCTCATTCCTGTAGTAACAAAAGAGCTTTCCTCAGGCTTGCTGGCTTCCCCTCAGTGGTCTTTGTCCTCCCTCCTAGGAAACAGTTTGAGTGTGTCAGAAGAGTCCCAGTTCCTCAGAAAGGCGTCTGGCCAAGAACCTGACCAAGTTGGGCTGTAGTATTTCTTTCATTAAAAGCCTGCTTCTTCCCCCCAAAAAGTCATCTGTGAACAGTAACAAAGCATTCATTGTGGAGTCCTTGGACTTGGCAGAAGCACAAATAAATGAAGTGCTTTTTTGGAAGCTACATTCCCTGTCTTGCAGATCAAAAAATAAATCCAAACTGTTTCAATGTGTATCAGTGGATTAATTCATTTGATTGCCACTTCCCTTCCTCTTCTCTTTGTGGGGAGGGGCACTCTGGAGATTGGAATTTTAATTGCCTGACCACAGTTTCTTATTAGTGGTGCAGCGAAAGGGTATGGATCATTAATTAGTACTGAATATAAGGATCTCTGAAGTTGAGCTATAGCATCAAACAAATGAGTTTAGACAACTCCTGACTAAACTTACAGTCTATAAGTAAATTGAGTTAAAATAATGAAACAATTAGATTTTTTTCCTGAGTCCCTGCATGTTGTTTTCTGTGTTTGCAGTATTCTTAGGGTCTTAAAGATTGTGGCATTTTAATGTAAATACATATTTAATATTTGTATATATGTTAGACATATGTACGTACTCCAAAGATATATTTGTTAGACATATGTATATACTCCAAAGATATATATGTGTATACATGCCTATAAAATAGTTATTCATAATTTAAAATTGTTATGCAATGGCATGCTTTATTTTATTAATATTTTGAGGTTTTAATTCATTAGGTAGTTTCATTGGCAATATATAAACACAGTGTTTTTGATAGTCTCTTTCTTTTTCAGTCAGTACTTGAATTTGTGCCACTAGATCCAAAAGAAATCCAGCTCTTGAGTGTAATGCTCTGAAAACAAAGTATTATTCACTTTATTACTTTAAAGTCCAGTAGACTGTATAATCTTTTTCTGGTTTTAAAACTTGATGATGGAAGTGAATTGTATAACTGCAGTTTAACTTTGCTCTATCCATGATTCTCAGATAGTGCAGTGTGGAATAGGAATATGCCTATAATAGATACTGGTATCAACTTGTTTTTTGCTATGTAGATTAAGAAGTGGCTAGTGAACAGGCTGCAGAATGTAAAAGTGTAGGGTCATCCTAAATTGCTATGTATGTAGTAGGGTTGCTGGTGCATTGTTATAAAACAGCATGTTCTGCAGTATTTGCACCCAGAATTTAGAGGTAAATAGGAAATAATTGCTGATAAAACTTATGAGTCATCTGAACAATGTGTGCCTGATCTCAGCTAAATTCATAAACTGGGCTTTGGTTAGGGACATGTAATTACAGATGGTGGTGAAATAAATGGAAAGCAGTGGCTTTGAAGTTTAAGTAATAGCAAAAAATTATATAAATTTATCAAGTTCTGCAATCTGTTCCACTCCCATATTATATTTGTGCTTTTATATGTATCCATTTGGGGGCTTTTAAAATATGAATCACACCTGAATTACAACAGCCATAAAGTCTGGGCTGTAAAACCCACCAGAATTCAGCCATGAATTGAGACCTGTGCTTGTGTTTAGTGGGAAGTGGGATGTTATTAGTAGAAGCTAGAAAAATGTTTTTTTTTTATTTAATTTATTTACAGAAAGCATATATTTACTTCATGTTTTCATTCTACTGTGGAATTTCATATGAAGATGTTGTTAGCAGTTTATTAGTGCATTAGGAGCTCTTTGTTCATATCCCTGGGGCTGAGCAACCATCTTCTGTTGAGATGTAGTAGAAGCTAGATGTCTGTGAGTTCAGAAGTTGGAAGGAATTTTCATAGGATGTACTTCCTCAAGGTAGTTTTCTTGGCTTTTGCTGTGTTTGAGGCTCAGTTTCTGGAAAGAGGACGGTGTTTCTGCTCTCCCCCTATTCCTGCTTCCTTTTTCATGGGACTTCATGAAGGACTGCAGCTGTCTGCCATGAATTCACCGGTACATCGCATGGAAACTTGGCTTTTGGGACATGGAAGGGCTGCCTCTTTTCTTCTGTCCTGTCTCTGGGGAATTAAATTCACATTTTGTGTTCTGCTTAAGGTTCCAGCCAAAGTTTTTGCTTCAGCTTCCTTCCTCCCACTGCCCCTCTCTCCTCCTCTTAATTATAATATGCCAGGGTTGAATGGATATAACTGCAACTGGAAAAGGACAAAAATAGCACAGATGAAATAAAGATTCTATTGAGACCTGGACCTTTATTTGGAATCACATTTGCTGGCATGTCATTGTACCAGTTTTCAAAAACTGACTGGATTACTTTTTTCAACAGAGCAATCATTAATCTCTAATTTTAAAGGGAACAAAATTTTGTTTGAAGTTGAACGTGATTTTCACAGCTTCAGCTGTTCCGCCCATGGAAATTAATGACAAGGTCGTGTTCAGTGTTAACAGGAATAGATTCACACATCTGTATCTGTTCTGCTCTTGGCTTCCCTAAGGTTGTGAGTGCATCCAAACTGAGATGGCAGCTGCTGAAACCAATATCTCTATGACACTGGCAACAGCTGCTTATTTTCAGCACCTCTGAAAATCGTGTAATTTTTGGAGTCCTCAAAGATGAGCACTGGTTTGAGGAGTTAGGTGACACCGCTTTTTAGATAATGGACTTTAGGTAGATATCTAAAAAGTTTTTAAAAATCAATCTCAACTCTTTTTGCCTGAAATAGTTTCTGACAGAGTTCTTTGCCAACTCTTCCTGAGAAGGGAATGAATTAATTTAAGAATATACTCAGAATATGGTCGGACAAGGAACTAAAAACAACAGTGTTCAATGTACTGCCTTTCTGATAAATCACAAATGGTCCTTCCCAAAAAGGAATATCCTAAACAGAGAAATTCTTGTGATTGAAGTTAACGTATTTTTTTTTTTAAAGGATAAAATGAACAATGGCAAGATGGGCACTAAGGAGTTTTAGAGAAAAAGAGCAATAGGTGCTCACAGAGCCTGGACTCTAGATTTGTACTGGTTTCTCTTGGTAATTTTTTTATGAAATGCCTTGAAATAGTGCTGCTGAAGCTAATCAGCTGATCTGTAGTTTTGATAATAGGAATACTGTTGTTCTTCTCCACTCTTCTGAATACTTCTCTTGCTTTCATTTTGAACTCAAAAACTTCAGTTGGCTTTCCCTAATTTAACGTGGTTCACCACAATGCCCTTTTGTTATTTACCCACCTTTTTGTTATTCAGTCATTCCCAGCTTCTTCAGCTGAGCTGACACGATGATCTGCACCATTTCCTTGAAATGTTCTCCCACAGCATTTTAATAACTCCTCCAAGCAAGTTCACAATGCCCAGGCCCTTTCAGGTGGTGTCACTGCTGTTTGAGTTGTGGGGGCAATCGAGTGGCAGCAGCCAGTGATGCAGCCACAGCTGTGTGCTGGGGGAATATTGGCTTAACCAGGGCACTTAAATGGGATGTCTTGTCTGAGTTCCATCAGGTTTATGAAGGGGAAAGAGGCTTTGACTGGCAGACTTGCCAAGTCCATCAATAGCAAAAGCAACCGTGAGCTTAAACTATGAAAATAATTAAAAAACAAGAGAAAAATGTTGCAGTATTTGGCTGTATAAAGAGGGGAATATGAAGCGTATGTGTAAAAAAGGTATAATGCAGTAAGATAATTTAATATTGTAAGATAATTTCAGAATCCTACATTCACTTTTCTTATCCATTCTGGAAAAAAGCCTTTATGTAACAGGCTGACATCTAATCTGACACCTTCACTCTCACAAAAGGCTCAAACTCCATTTTATTTCCCCAAGAAAGGGCTAAGAAGTGATTGGTTTTTGTTTGCTCCATATATATATCTATATGTACAAGTAAATCAGGTAAAACTGCTTCCCAGCAAGCAAAAATGTTGTTGAGATTAGTGATGGGACACTGACAAGTGTGAACCAGAAGCAAGATGTGAGTTGGAATCACTGGATGTATTGCTGGGACATTTTAGGTAGGGGAATAACAGGGTCACTGTCACTTGGTTGAATGTCTTTCTGTAAACATCCCTGTGCCTCAGACAGCTCATGGCTTCTGTGTGAAGCAATTGTTGCATGACTGCTTACCCACTGTCACAGAAAGGTGGGATGGCTCTCCTGGCCCTACACTGTATGGCTGTATGTTCTTACTTTGCCAGTTCTGTTTTTCTCCCTCATTTTACTCATAGCACCATACTGACACTGGCAGCAGGCACATCTGCATCTTCTGTATTTGCACAGCTTCCCATGCTGGGATGCTTGGTGAGCAGAATTAATGGACAGCATCGAGGGTTAACACCAGTCCAGAGAGCTCACACGAGCATGCAACTCCAGAATATTCATTTATTTACTGTTTTCCATCTCTTTTTCTCTCTTCCACAGTGAAATACATGAGAGAAGCAACCCCCTATGTGAAGAAAGGCTCCCCCGTGTCGGAGATTGGCTGGGAGACGCCTCCCCCCGAGTCCCCGCGCCTGGGCTGCGCCTCTGCTGAGCCCACGGCGCAGCTCTCGCTCTCCATCCACAGGGACAGGAAGACAATTCCCCTCAAGATGTGCTACGTGACACGCAACCTGACGGTGCCAGACCCCGAAAACAGGTGAGTGGGGATTGCCTGGGCTGGGATTTCACTTGCACCTTGAATGGTTGCTGCCATTTGCTGCGCTGGGGTTGGTGAGCAGCACCAGGGCTCCGGCCACACGCAGTGACCCAGCAAGAGAAGCCAGCCCCGCTTTGGGAAGGGTGGGTGGTGGTGACAGAGCCACATGAGGCGTGGCTCAGCTTTTGGGATGCTAGAGGAACCTCAATGCAGCAATCCAGCACTTTTGTTGGAAATAAAATCTCGGGGGGTTGTTTTCATCATGATCAAGTGTCTGCTTTTGAAGGAAAAGACACTGTACACATTAATTGGTTACATCCTCCAGGCTGCCTAAATCTGATTCCACTAAATTGCATTTTCTTTCCTTTTTTAAATTAATATTGTTTTAAGAATGGTCTGGTTTGAGTATTCAGTTCTGGACATTAAAGTCAAGAAGAGGAGAAAAGTTCCACTTACACGGCATTAATGGGGAATTTTTGTGACTTGTTTTTTTTCTTAATGTTAAAAATAGGATGAGGTTTTACCAGCCCTTATTTATAACATATGTGGAACAGCTGCACTGCACCAGCACACTCCCTGATCCCTTCTCTAACAGCTGCTAATAAAAAAGAGAGCAGTCAAGTCAGTGATACAGACTAATTCTCCATCCAAATAATGGCCTTTTCATTTTTCTGCAGTGCTCAGAAGCTGGTGTAATGTCTTTGATACACAGCATTTACACATAGGCATAAACAGAAGTTACATTTTCATTTGCAGAAAAGGATAAGGAGAAGTGGGGAGAGAAGAAAGTGGCTTGGGAAGGATGTAATCTCTGTAATCGCTTGCACTGCAATTTAGAAACTTTAGTAGTATCTGTATTGTTTTCCATCTTTCCTTTTTATATTTGTCTGACCTTTTAATTTTCCCCCTCCATACTTTATTGTTTAGTATGACTTCACATTGCCTTGGCTCTTCATCCCACATAGTGGTTGCCACCATAGTCAGTGTAACTGACTGCTACGGAAGTGCAATTGTAAACATAACGCTAGCAGTCCTTTTCAGCTTAGATCTAGATGTTTATTGATATTGGCCACTCTTTTTCCACATATGTCTGCATAGTTTAAGGTTTGACAGCCGTATCACCTGTCTGAGAGTTTGTCTTTCTCTCTGCCATGGTGTGTATTTTAAAAATATTCATACAGGTCACATTTTTGGAATCAGTACAATGTATTGATACTTTGCCTGCATTGACTTTATTTTCTCATATTTTTTCCCCTTTCTTTTTTGATTTTATTGTAGTTTTCACCTTCTGTCACTCTCCTGGCCCTCAGTTGGTTTGAGAGCCAGGATTGACTCAGAGGGACACACACTCATTGCTCATGATACCTCTGCAATGGAGCTGACTTTTTTGAAGTATGCTACATGTGTGTGTTTTCTTCAGTGTTACTAGGAAGTAATGTGTGAGAGACTCGTATTGCTTGTTATCATGGTTTTCATTTTGTGTTGCTGTCATTTCCTGTGGAAAGAGTGACTTCTGATTTTTACTGTAGTCCAGCACAGTGCAGTCTGAGATGGATTTTTCCATCCAAGCATGCAGTACCTCACCATCTTGCTAGCTGCTGTGTTGTAGTAGCACCCCATGGATTAGCATCTTTACTGATTTCTGTGTTTTTTAACAATTCTGAACACTGGAACTCATATTTCCCAGTATTAACGCTATTACAATGTAGTGACCCTTTCTTACTGGAATGCCTTCCAAGATAGTAATCCGATTCCAGAACAATAGTTTTGTCTTTGCTCACAGCAGAGCCTAAGCCATGTCCTTACATGCTTACAACACTTCTGTTTCATAACCCAGTGACCTGACACACATAGATTTTGTAACTGATGGTGTCACTTTGCTGGATGGCCTTAAGAGAGCTCTGCTGGCGAGATGCCAGAGCATATGTTGGCCATTAAAGGTCTCCTTTGGACTATAACTGAGCTAATTTTCGTTTAAGAGCAAGTGTGGACATGGAAAGCCTGAGTTTTCCAGTGCAGTGATTTCTTCACTGCAGGCTGGGGATAATGTCAGCAGCCTTCTGGGACCAGGATTAACTGATTTGATGTCCAGCATGAGAAGATACCTATGTTAAGGGACCCAAAAGGAAATACTTGCTTGTTGGCACTGAATTATCTCCAGTTCTTAGAAAGCTGCAGTGAAATGTGCATTTAATGGGCATGGAGGAGTATTGTTTTTCCCATTAGAGCTGGTAGCCCTGCATAGGACTTTTTTCTTCTCATGGAAGACCGACCTCAGTTCAGAGATTCTCAAGTCTATGTCTATTCTCAGATGGTTTGGTGAACTTGTTATTTTGGAGCAGAAGTGATGTCTGTTGCTTTTACAGCCAGCAGTTCTCAGATGTCTCCTTCACCTGATCTGCCTGTGGGTTCATTCTGGAGGAGATCTTTTCTGTTACCTGATAAAAAAAGCTGTAAGATACCAAGGAGAAGATCCTTAATACAAATCAATACCAAAATTAGTGTGTAGAATTTTTTTTTATGATAAAAGCATGGCAAGAGGAGAAAATATGCAGAGCATCTATGCCATTTTTCTCTAGGTGCAGGGCTTGTTATATTTAGGCTGGAAGAAACTGGTTAAAATAACTGCTACTAAAATCAGTTGTTTGCTGTGTTTTCGCTGATAAGTGACCTTTTTGGTGGCAGCAGTAAAGGTTAATGTCAGGCCTCACTGAGGAGCATCCCCTCCTAATGGAGGAACATGTGGAAATGATCATGGCTAGTAATGCCAATAAACAGAAAATCTTCTGCAGTGTAGAAAGCTTTTCATCAATTTCTGGTGATGATAGTAAGGAACAGGAGAAAAAAAAATGTCTCTCAGGTGAAATTTTTTCTGTTGGTGCTTTTAAAATCTTGGGATATAATACAAAGGTACTTCTGTACACAACACAGGAGACACAACATTCCCTGGAGAAATGAGACAATGCTATGTGGATAGCAAAGGTTTTCTCGTCTGCTCTTGAAGTCACCCTAAAATTCTGCTTGCACATCTTTCAGCCAAACCCAGCAGGTGTGGGCCTGGTCCTGTCACCACACATCATGTTCTTCCAGTGTCAGGAGTCCAGAGCAGTGTGATCTCAACGGGAACTTCAGCAGGGTCCAGCCTTAATGACTGGGTTCTTCATTGGCATGATTTGGCCCTCTGATGGGAAAGGTTTGCTTTGGTCTGGAAGCTAGGAAAAATGGACTGAGATGGATTCCCAGCAGTGAACTTTTCCTATCACTGTCCATTTCAGGATTGGACTAATTACAATCAGAAGATAAAATTGAGCAGGTACATTCTATAGGTGTGTGTTGGGTTCTTTCATGGCCAGGTTCTGGTAGCAGAGGGGCTACAGAGGTGGCTTCTGTGAGAAGCTGTCAAGAACTTCCTCCATGTCCTACAGTGCCAATGGCAGCCAGCTCCAAGGTGGGCCCACTGCTGGTCAAAGCTGATCCAATTGGGAATTGTAGTAACACCTCTGTGATAACAGATTTAAAAAGGAAAATAAGAAAGTTGCTTTGCAGATGGAATTGTGGCCAGATAAGATTGGAGTGAGAATATGTGAAAGAAACATCTCTGCAGCCACCAAGGTCGATGAGGAAGGAGGGGCAGGAGCTGTTCCAGGCGCCAGAGCAGAGATTCCCCTGCAGCCCCTGGTGCAGCCACTGGGGAGGCAGCTGTGCCCCTGCAGCCCATGGAGGATCACAGGGATGCAGAGACCCACCTGCAGCCCATGGAGGATCACAGGGATGCAGAGACCCACCTGCAGCCCATGGAGGAGCCCATGCCAGAGCAGGTGGATGCCCAAAATAGTCTGGGATTGTGTGGGAAATCTGTGCTGAAGCAGGTTCCTAGCAGGGACCTGTGGAGAGAGGAGCCCAGGCTGGAGCAGGGTTGGTGCCAGGACTTGTGGGGGATCCATGCAGGAACAGCCTGCTCCTGAAGGACTGCACCCTGTGGAAAGGGAGCCACACTGGAGCAGTTCATGAAGATCTGCAGCCCATGGGATGGACTCACACTGGAGAAGTTCATGAAGAACTGCATGAGAGGAGCCCCACACTGGAGCAAGGGAAGGACTCCTGTCCCTGAGCAGCAGCAGAAACAACCTGTGATGAACTGTGTAACCCTCATTCCCTGTCTCCTTGTGCCACTGGAGGGGAGTAGGTAGAGCCTGGGAAGGAAGGGGGTGGAGGGGAGAAGGTGTTTTTAAGATTTATTTTGCTTCTCAGTAATCTCAGTGATTTTGTAAGTAATGCATTCAATTAATTTCCTGAAGTTGGAGCCTGTTTTGTCCGTGGTGGTATTTGGTGAGGGATTGCTCGTGATCCTTATCTCAGCTTAGGAACCTGTTATATTTTCTGTTCCCTCTCCACTAGTGGAGGGGTGTGATAGAGTAACTTTGCTGGGTGCCTGGGATTCAGGGTAAACTTACTACAAGATGGCAGAGGAACTGGGTGGTATCCATTCATTCTGGACTGTGCACAGTGAGCTGCATCTGGGAATTCCCTGAGCTTCCCGAGACATCAAGCAGGTGCAGAACAGGACAGACTGAGACCTGTTTACTCCAAAGGCAGCAATAGATTCAAGCAGCTTCATTACTTTGAGGTGTTTTTGTTTGTTTGATTTTCTTTTTTATTTGCATTGGGAAATACTGATTTATTGAATGAAGTATTCCCAATATCTTTTGTGAAGCCATTGCTCCCCAAACTTCCTTTTGCACACATTTTTAAATAATAATTTCTTCTTACATTATTTAATAACAGCAATGTCAGTAATGCACAGTAATAGTGTCAGTGAGATTTAACATTTTGAACTGTAGTTGGTGTATAAGTAACTTATGCAGCATGAAATAGCAGTGTGATTCTATAACAGCATTTCAAAATATTAAATATAAAATAAATTCTAGTGAATTTGCATGTATTTACTTTTGTTACAATAAGACATGAAAACAAAAGTTAAAGCTTTTTTAAAGAAACAA